ATTTCCCTGCGTATATACAACAAATAAATATTTTATACTAATCACCTATTTAATAATTCTAATGGCTGTAATACTTCCGGGGAAACTGGAATCCACATATTAGAATAAGAGTTAATAACTATGTCCTTTTGCAATTTTATTTTATATTAACGGTTCTTTCATTGGGAACAAGATTACTGCTCATTCCTGTCACGTTATACATATATATATATATATATAAGAATATCTCATTTTGATAACTAATATTGAATAAAAAAATAATAATTTTCTTGAATTAAGCTTCTTTATCGCACTATGACGTCGAATTATTCCAGAAACATTGCAAAGAAAAGCAGAGTCGGAAAAGCTACACCGTCTTTTAACTGGTTTGAAGAGGTTCTTGTTCGTTAGAGAGTCGCTCGCGGAGCTTCGACGGGCAATTCAGCATCTTCGCTCGCCTCGAAAGACCAAAGACAATCATCTCGAACGATCTCGCGGCGGTGTCCGGCCGCTGATTGGTCGTACACCGGCTACTGGACCCGGTTGACCCCTAACCCCGGCAACTCGCTCGCCTTTATCGTCTGGAATTGTTGTGTTGGTGGCCAAGAGTTGGTACACAGCGCGCGCGAAGCTCCCGCCCGCGGAGAGATAGAGAAGACCTCCATCTCGTGTTGTACACGCGCGCGTAACCGTGTACTACACGCATCTTGCGGCACGACGCGGCGGCTGTAACGGTGGGAGCGGAATTCTGTGCTGAGCGACAAACAATTGCCGCCAAGTGGCTTAATTGCAGCCAACTAAACAAATGTTCCAACCGTATATCCATCCAGCCCGCGCGCAGCTTCTCTCTTCCCTTTCAACTCCCTCTCTATAGATCTGATTCCGTATATACGTCTCTCTTGTTGATGACGAGAGACGGGAGTAGAGAAGAATCTCCGCGAGTTAAGAATGTTCTCCGCGTTTTCTTCTTCTTCTTCTTATCCCCCGACTCTATTGTACGTTCCCACGTACGAATGCGTGCGCACGAATCGAGCGGCGCATTCGTAGCGCGGTAACGCTCGTTGCGTTATAGCGAGACGTGACCCCGGCAACGAACGACGCAACAGAATTCTCATCTCCGTGATCATCGTCCGGGATCTCTCGAACGAGATAGCCGGAGCGGAATCGTTAGCTCGACGCTTCCAGGAGATCTTAAACGGCGCGCGGCTGCTCTTAGCTTACGTTTTAACTCCGCTCTCTCTCTCTCTCTCTCTCTCTCTCTCTCTCTCTCTCTCTCTCTCTCATCCTCTCTGCCTCTCTGTCTCTTCGTTCTCTCGTACTTTATGTCTGGAAGACGCCGGGATCGTTTCTCATTCGTCGTAGGTGTATACGGCCGGCCGGTCGTGCGCACAGTGAGATTCCCATTTATCAGGGTACATCCGCCGGAAGTGGGGCGGCCCCCGTGCGTAGGTGAGAAGGAGAGAGAGAGAGAGAGAGAGAGAAAGAGCGTGGTAGCCCGGTATAGAAGTGGGAAGACCGGGAGTATTAATAAACTAATACCTGCGACACCGACACATCGGGGTCCTTGGGCGTAGCGAATCAAATTAGCGTGATGCGTTCGGATCTTGATATTACAAAAATAATCTCTATATATTTATGCATGACAATTTCGCAATTTCACGAAATTGTCGTTGATCATTTCTTTTGAGAAATTATTCGTTTCAATCATTTTACATCTTCAGCTTGTTCTCACGAGTTTTTATTATTAAATTTGTCAAATATTTTTTATAAGTGCGAGAGTAAGAGAGGGTTAATTTAATGCTGAAAAATGTTAATATTCCATGTATATAGGACTGTATCCATCTCACTCGTGTCCTCGTCGTAAATTAAACGCAATAATTCGCAGATATCCTGACGCATAGGATAACTTCGTAACGATCGTATTGATGGTATCAATTACAAGAATACCGCTGCGGAGAGCTCGGATCCGCTCGTCGCCGATCGACTCTTTCTCAGAAGGTAACCTGCCGCGATTATCTTTAATGATAGACACCTTGACGGTGTGCCCGGTCGAGCGAGATCGAAATAAACTCCGGTATAAGCGGCTCGCTTGATCGCGAGACTACTCTTCCAATCGCAGATACGAGAATATTAGATAATCCGAATTTATCAGAAAGAGGGAGGGGGAACGGCTTCTTTGTCGGGACTTTGTTGCGACTGAAATTTTATTCCTCCGTTCTTTTATTTTTTCATTTTATTTTGAAATTATATATTTTTATTTGTACTTCTTTCTAAATAACCTCTTTGAATATTTAACTTGTGTTTTTTCCTACGATGCATGAGTCGACTCATTTCTTAGATCACAAAGGTGGCTCATTATAATCGATAGATACGTATAGATACTTCCGCGACCGATTCTATGAAAATCGGGTTATATTAAATTCTTAATGAAAGATTCTTAAAATAACCTTCCGCGGATGCAGCTTGAAGTCAACGGTGTATTTAGAAAGGAAAGAAAGAGCGAGTGAGATTATATATATATACTCGGCCAATAAATTCCACCGATTATTAAACACAGATTCTGTGCTTTTATCTAATACCGATGAACTTTTTGAATACGTCGATCTGTATCGGCCGATTGAAAAATACAAATGATGTCAAAAGCAAACAAGGATAAAAATTCTATAATCCAAAGCAATTTTTTGTTGAAATTATTCATTAATAGTTTTTCAATATATTATTTTAATTATTACTTATGTACTTATGTATTCAAACAACATACAATTATATATATATATAAAATAAAATATAGCTATTTATATTATTGAGAATAAATTGGCTGAATTCGAAATGAAATAAATTAAATATAGAGAAAAGTCGCTGGTTTATACATGTAACTGCCGATTCTAAATTTGATACATTACTGATACGTATAAACGGGATATCTATCTTTCGATATAGATAAAAACGATGCGCAAAAAATCCGCCACATTTCGAGACATACTTACATTTTCTTCATATCCCATAGCAAACAAAAAAACTGTGCAAAATCGTAAAACGTGTTGTAAAATATATTTCATTATCGTAGAAATATCAAGGTACTCTTTACACCTACTTTACGAGAATTCTTCTCCTCATAGAAAATACAACCATATTCGTTTTTCTTTTTTTTTTTTTAAACGCGACATTTCGTCGCGATTGGATCTCCTCGTCGCTCTCGCGATTTCCACGTTCGTCCGCGCGTCGGAATTTCTCGGTTACATCATCAGGAGTTTTTGCAGCGCTGCGCACACATTAATACGCACAGACACACACACACACGTATGCGCACACTCTCTCGTTCGCTCGTGCATCGTTTATACACGCCGCCTATGTCCTACAAGCCTGCTGGACAAAGTTGCGGCCGGTATCAATTGGCCGTGCTCTCCGCGTTGTATACCGGTCGACCTTCTGGAGTTGCAACACGAGACCTGACACAGATAGGAGAGGCTGTGCCGCTGCAGAAACGCGCAGCGCGAACCAGTCGGCCCAGGCATCGCGCACAGGCTACGTTAGTGCATGCCTTGCGAAACTGTCGGCCGGCCGTTCGTTCGTTTCAACTGGGGAAAAACCCGTTAATTTCGTCGGCATAAAATCAATCAAAGCGAGATAGAATCGCGCCGCTGAAGCCTGCCTCTCGTGCCTGCGACTCGATGCGAGGATCGATTAGAGCGTGATGCGATATCGCGGAACGCGGAGAACGCTTCGCGCTGCTCTTTTCGATGAAAAACGACCTGACCATATAGAGGGATCCTCCATTCGACACAAGCCTCGGCCTTATTCCCTCCTTTCCCCCCAAACGTCCCTGACCGCTCGATCTCGGCCAGTAGCATAAAAAAAAGAAACGCTTTTTTCTTGGATGAACGCTTTATAGATGTCCGTTTCCGCGTGTCACGAATGTAATGTATCGGTTATGTTGTAAGAAATTTCATTGGATTATACAATAAGATTACATTAGCATAGTTATCGAAAAATGACCTCAATATTATGTATGTGTTGCTACGATGAGGAATTAGAACTCGACATGCATAATAATTAATAATTTTTTAATAAACGTAAAAAAATCAATTGCATTGTATTAATATGAGGCGGTACTTAAATCGGATGGATCGATCAGATCGTATCTAGAAAGGATTGAGAGCCGATGCTTGCTCGCGCTACTGATTCGAGATTCTTGACGCGCGTTACCTTCGCGCGTGCAGCATCGAGGCGTAAGCAATTTGCGTTTCGACGAATCGCGCATCGCCGCCAGCTCTTGATCTAGGACAATAAAGTCCACGGTCTTCCTGTAGGCGTATGGTAACGCGAACACAGCCTTCGATAGCTTCTTCTCAACCGTATATATGCTTTGTGCCGCGATACAATGTAGTATGAATGAAAGAATTTGTACTTTACTTTTTTGTCATTTTTTCCCTTGGATATACATATTAGAATATGTCACGTGCATATACATATAAGTATAATATTGTTAACATTAACAGAAAATTAAAAAATTCTGAATAATTTTGTAAAAAATAATTTTAATAAAAATTGCTTTAATTTATAATCACGAGAAAATTAAATTAAATAGTTATATCTATACTTTTGTAAAAGAAGATAATTATATTGCTTATTAATTATATATATCATTAAAGAAATAATTATAGATTCAAATATAACGCATCTACATTATATTTGAACTAGAATAAAGGATGAAATTACTTAAACATTTTTTCATGTTAATATATTTAAAGGACACCTCCTTACCAAAAATGGCATGGACGGTGCATAGTAAGATTGAATAAGGTCGCGAGCATCTGTCCCTGAGTAACGATGTGGTTAAGTCGCGGCTACGTTTGCGCGGTATTATCATAACCGGCAGTTACGGAAAATGAGTTTCGCGAACTTCTAAACGCGTTGGAAGAATTTTGTCCTATTCGTCCGTATCACGCGAAACCGTTCGACTATCTACGACTCAAGCAGGAAACGACGCAGAACCTAACGGATTTGTATCTCTGTTGCAGGAAAATATCTCGACCCCGGAGCCAGCCGACATATCAGAGGACGATCACTATCCAAACAGTGAGTAGAGAGAATCTTTCATTATCTATATCTCTCCCGTAGCGTAAATCTTGTCATATCTGATTTGGTATCGGAAGGGATCGGTCGTCCCTTCGAAACCCCTTTTATCAGGCTAAAAGATTATAAGATCCCGAAACAAGATTCAAAAGCGTATATATATGTACCTGCTGTGTGTGCACGCGTGCAAAGTCTCATTCGTCTAACACGTCACGTCACTTCGTCGACTCGATTCGGTTCTCGAGTGTTCTTTTCTGCTTCCGAGAGACACGTCCGCGCTTTTTTCCGTTTCTTTTCCCCGCGAGGTCAGGTTGTACACCGTTTCGGAAATCTTGACCCGAATTCTATGATAGCGCCGCACGGGCTTCTAAATTATTAAATCGCGTCTCGCACGAACGATTTAGACATCGTTCCGCTCTCTTCCTTTGTCTCTTTCTGCGTGTGGGTTTGTTTGCCGATTAATAAATCTCTACTCTCGTCGCCGAAGCGCTCGTCCGCCGCGTGTCATCGCTAATTCCACCGGACGAACAAACGGAACCGCGCGATATGCTAGAAAATCTGCGGATTGTCCCTTTGAACTTCCCTGGTACACCGATTACGTGCGGTTGCGCGCAGGAAACGCGAACATCGTTGTTATAGTCGTCCCCGCGGAATTTACGCGAATTAATAGTAAGCTCGTCCGTACACTTTGTCCATCGTTGCGTTGCTGTTGCGCATTATTATAATAAGCTGAATTAGTCATTGATAGATTGAGCCTAGTCTCGCAATGTGTTCTAATGATAATCCCAAATCGACATACATATATAAATTTCATAATATGAAAGACGGACGAAGTTGGCAGTGTTTTGATAGATCATTTAAGACATGAAATTTAATATATATATGATTTTGTAATGAGAATATATCTTGAAAAGAAAATATGAAATATACATTTTTATTAAATGTTGCAATATAAATTTCTCGTCAAATTGAAAACAATAAATTATTTAAGATTATTCAGAATCGAATATCTAATATTATTTAAATTTAATTTTTCAGTAAATCTTACATAATACTTTAGCTAATAAAAGAATGTTTTGTCGAATGTCTGTTATTTGGCATAGCGCCACTCTTACGATTTTAATATAAATACTGGTTGTCTTCGAAAAGAAACGTGTATGAAATTATATTATAGATGTATTGTGATAAAAAAGGAATATATCAATGACATCGTGAGAAAGAATACGGAAAACTACATGCGCATGTTACGTATTTACATTGACACCGATTCGAACGAACTTGCTTGCATCAAAATTTTTTGTTTTACGTGTCGACGAACCTCTTTGAGAAAGGTTTGAAAATCGACTAAAAACTACCTGCTGGTGAGAGGTCAAAGATCTTCAATCATACAAGGCAATGAAATTATCATCGCGAAAAAAAATTGTGAGACGATAATAGCATCTAATTTATCATTGAAATACAAAAATTAAAATATTTTTTTCAGTGACTTTCGGATCAATATAATATAATTTTTCTATCGAATAAATTTTTTTCTGATTAGAATATTACTGCATTTGAATTCTTTCGTGTTAGGTAATTCTTCCTCCGATCCGTAAAAATACTTCGATTGTCTCTAATTTTGTCTTTAATAATTCTCAAGAATCGCGCTTTTAAAACAACGTATAGATAAATAATTAAACTTGTTGATTTGTTTTAAATTGCATATAAACAAAAAAAGGATATCTTATTTACCAGATAATAACTAGCAGTTTCACCAGTTTCAGATGTATCGGAATCAAATTTCAAAAATCAATACGTATGATATTGCCGGAAAACATATTTACAACGTGCATTACTCATCGCTCATCGCGCGCGAATATACATGCGTGGCTTTCATTGTATCGGTGACGATTTCGAAAGCTATCGTCATCCGGAATTTTATTTTTTGTTGTCGCTGCGTGTTATTATTTGTTTGCCGTTTCGCTCGATGAGATGCAATCCGCGTGCAAGCGGGAAGTACGCGAAAAGGCACATGTTACATTGTTCGCTCTAGGACACGAGTTCACCGATGCCTCGCAACGACGAGTCATTGCGTGTACGACGTTAAAATTGGCTCGTAGATCTCGCCTAGCTTCCCGGTAGATATCTCGCGAAGCGAATCGACGGAACGTCGTTAATCGCGCCGTCGAATTCTACCGCGACTCCGATCAATAAGTGTATAAACGATCTCCCTTCGCCGGCTCGATCCGGTGTCCGAGGATAAATCATGATCCGCATACTTTGGTGGAGAGTTAATCGTAGATTCCATTCACCGCGCGGCCGCGGGTTGGTGTTTTTGTCAGCAGGGTCTGTGTAAATTACCCGATCGATTAATAATCGTAACCAGCGTACAAGTTTGCCGCCAGCTGTGACGATTGAGCTACGCGGCCGGCCGATTTATCAGTTTCGGGTAATTAAACCTGTTGCGTTATTAAAGCGCCGATTAAATCGAGTCGACGATGTTGTTGTTTTGTGAGTCTAATTTATTCGATGCTTTCCGCTCTCGGGCTGGAGTCGCTTCGCGAGAGAGCTCAGGTAGCTGATAAGTGATAATAGCCTCCGGCGCATGAGACTTGCCAGTGGATGACGAATGACGCGACGCGTTCGCGATATGACTATGCTCTCGTACGAGCAAGAACTTTTATTGGCGAGAAAGAGAGTGTGCACACGCGCGATTTTTCAGTTAATATTATACACATGATAATTTTTTTTAAACCTTGTTTAAAACCAATGGGTACTTTCAGTTTCGGCAGGTTCGCTTATGAAAGACCCGGATAAGCTGAAGCTGATGCTGCTCGCCTGGAATTATAATCTTCAGGCGCAGGCACAGGTCCAGGCGGCAAACGCCCTCTCGCCAAATAACTCTTCGACTACCACGGCCACCACCGTTGGCACACCTGTCACCAGCCAATCAGCCATTTCCACGGCAAACAACACCATTAACAACTCTACACTCACAGGTAATACCTTATTTCATCAAGCGAGATATACATATGATATCCTAAGTCACATGCGAATGTATTCGCAGATCGCAAATATAGGAACGAACAGTTTCAACATCCTAAATTGTTTCCTCCTTGATTCTAGGATATAAGATCTTGACGATTTCTAAATAACGATTATCCTACAATTATTTTTCCAATAGTAATATATTTATGATAATAGCATTTGAAATAGATTTCTCACACAAATATTTATTTTATTTTTATCTTAGCTTTTGCAAATTTTTATTATAAGATATACTCCAGGATTTAAAGTTGTTAACTGTGCGTTACCTAGTATATGTACGCGAACCCGTTGACGTTGTGGTGGCGCGATGTCGATCACGACTTTGTGGTTACGCGAATGCCACATAAGGGGAAAAAAAGGAATTCGCGCCTCACAAAATCGACAGGCGAGACGTTTAACGGAATCCATTACGGGACGTCTAGACGTCTTTCTTTCTTTCTTTTCGATCGCGAAAGGACTCGACGAAGTTACGTACGCCGACGTCCCATTGATGTCGCCTAGACTGACGAAATCCTACTTATGAAAAGAACCTTGCTCCGCCTGGCGTAAGCGCGCGGCGGGGGCTTTAATGCTCAAGTTTTGCGTCCTTCTCGCGCGGCTCGGCTCGGCTCGACTCGGCTTGGCGCAACGCGGTGCGGCGCGGCGGAGTGAATTGCAGGTTTCGCGGGGCCAAGGTGTACCGGCCATTTAGCTCGTAAAGTTTTGTCGTCGCGCGCGACGTGACTAATGGATCGCCGGCCTAGAACGTACCCCGTGGCGTAGAAAGAGAAATTCGACGCGCGTCTCATCTGTATATGTATACATATATATATATATATATTGTGTGTGTGAGTGTATACACGCAAACCACCTCCTCCGTCGCTATACACCCACGCGCGTTCCAGCGAAATCTACGTCAGGGTGAATCACGGGGGTGAAGTACGCCGTGAATCCTCCTTCTTCCCCGTTGGCGATGAATCAGTGCGGGCGGAAAGCCGTGTACCAGATGAGGAATGCAACCGATACCTTCGGGTATATCGATACCACTGGGAGTCTGCGGTACGCGCAGCTATATTTCATCCTCGTTCATTAATCCTTACGTAATCGTCGTCCGTGTGGCGGAAATTCGCATGCTTTCTCGCAAACGAATTGTAATCTTTATCCGAACGTCCTTCGAATTCGATTTTAAAAAAAAATAATTTTTTTTATTCTTGACCTCTTTAATTCGTCCTTTTTATTAATTTGTCGGAATTTTAAAAGACTGAGATTTTTAAATATTAGATATATTTTTAATTATCTCTGTGTTGTATGCATCTGTGTGTTTGTCTCAAGGAGGAGGAGAAAAAGTATATTCGAGACGTACTTTGATACCTCGCACTCGAGTGAACTGGTTGAATAAAGAAGCGAGTCATGTGAATGGGAGCGACGGATGTAACGTGGTAATTGTGTCGGCCGATGGACATTGAAAGTTGAATATTGAAAATTGCAGAGTGCGCGCGAAAAGTCCATTAGTTGCACTATTACGGTATCGCAAGTGGATTTCTTAAAATGATTTTGGATTATAGTCGAATACGGCGCATTGTTAATGCTTTTTTGGGTTACCTATTTTTTTTTCATGTAAGAGACAACGTAATCTTGTTCCAATATGTAAAATTACATATAATATATGAGAATTAAATATACAAATGAAAATATTGTATACATTCTATATAATTTCCATAACGTATAATTAAAAATTACTTAAAATTTTCACGCGAAGCTGAAATTATATTTTGATAATACTTGATTTTTTTATTAAAACTTTATAATTTCATTAAATTAACATTATTTATATATAAGATAAAATTTTCAAAATTCTGGAAAGTTTGATATTAAAAATATCTCGCGAATTGCAAATAGATAGAAAATATGACTCAATTATCCTCATAATATCATCATTTTCTTCCGCTAATTTAGCTTTGTTGTACTCTAAACATCTTTAACCGCGAAAAGACATACGCGTTAATTGCTGCACACGTTCTTAACGTCACGATAATCGCGTAACGTTTTCCAAGGCACCGAGCGTTTCCGCACGGTACTGCGCGTTCCTTGAGACCCGTCTGTTGTTCAGTTAGACCAGGTTGCGGAAGGATAATTCATCGTACCCCCCGTCTCGGTACGCCTCTTCTATACCTATACTCCCTGCCAGCTATTTGAAACTGGTTTCGAAGCGGGCTTCTATATCTCGGACGTAGTCATTGCGTAATGAACCAGCCATCGGCTGAAGAGACCCCAGTGTATGTATGTGTATATGCGTGTGTATATTATATATATATATATATATACACATATATATAATATACATGCACATATGTATATAAATACATATGTACTTATAGATATTCATATATAACACGTATATGCGAATACACACCGAAGAACGGATAGTCCTCTTCTCGTTCGTCCCTCCCTTCCCCCCCCCTCCCACGTGATGATGGGCGCAGATTCCTCACATCTCACGCAGGACTTCTCTCATCGGACCCTGCTTCGTAGACTCGCGTTTCGCAAATCGATTTCTCGCTAGAGCCACTACTTCTGCCGCGCGATCTCGGGAAAAGCGACAAAGATCGTCTGATGCGAGTCCGAGTTCGCGATTTAATCCGAATTGCGATCTTTTAATATAGTCTTGCTCTCGCGCAATTTACATTTCAGCCAAAATTCACAGTCGTTCGTATATTCTCCCTCTCTCTCATAATTCTACATACAATCTATCTATCCCGACGAGTCAAAATTCTTAATATAATTTTAATTATATTTATATTAACGTAATATTTTTCAAATTGTATGTTATATAGAGACTCTCTTTTTTATATTTCAATAATATTAATTATAGCAAATAATTTTTTCAAAGTAAACTGCAAAATGGCAATTTTATCCAAATAACTTTAGATTCAAGCTATACCAATCGATTTTTCGATAAAGCTTTGTCTACTTAGAAATCTTGATAAAAAAGACATAATGATTGCCGCGAGGACATCTTGGTTTCTCATCTTTTAATGCACTTCGTAGAGTCAGCGGTGTAATATTTATAATTTACAGCGGACGCGCGCGCAACTTTCCCGGGCGCATACGAGGCGCGATTATGTTTGCGATATGTCACAAAATCACAATATCTTAAGTACAACGTTTCCGGATCTATATCATATATATATATATATATATATATATATATATACATCAGAAGATAATCATATATATTCTCGTAAACATTTACTCTTTAATGACTGCTTTTGCGGTAATAACGGATGTTTTATTTTAAATATCTAACTTTAAATTAGTAATGGTATTTAAAATACAGTCGCACAATCTATATAGATATATCATATAAATTATTGTCATCGCATTCATCGTCACAAAGAAAAGCGAATAAATGAATTAGTTCAAAAAATCCGATGAAAATTGTCAAAAAAATAAGAAGGTCAGATAGAAACTTTCGAATCAATTAAACTGAAATAAATGTGAAAAATATTCGCGCGGATCATCCGACTAAATTAAATGAGGAGAACCAAATTGACTGAATAAATGAATGAAACTCCAAAATGTATTATAGAAAGTCTGAAATTATGGTGTAAAAAGCGTAGTCAGAGTTAAAACTTCCGAATTCTCTCTCTCTCTTTCATATCGACGCGCACATACATGCCATCACGCGCGACGTCCTACTATGGTCAGTGACATTTATGAGGGACAAGATAATACGTCTTCGTCTATCGTCCTCGCAATTGCACGTTACCAAGCCAGCGTGGCTGGCATCCGAGCGGTAGACCGTAGAGTTTCATACCTGGCCCGTGGGTGTACGTAGCTTGTTTGCGAATTTTGTAACGCGCGAGGCTCATCGTGCAAGACAGCGGGCGGGGAGAGACTTGCCTAGAAAAAGAGGAAGTGCCTGTGGTACGGTCGTGGAGAGAGGCCGTGGTATTAGTTTCCCTTTGCGGGAAACGCGCGCGCAAAGTCGAGGGAACGAGGAGGACGAAGTGGCGCCGGGTGGGGCGCCGCCGACTGATTTCAGGTTCAGGCCAAGAGGCGAGTTCAGGAACGGTGCTAGGCGGTGTGGGATTGGGATTGGTAACCGGCTTTCTAGCCTCGGCGTTTCGCTTATGTGCGTGCAGTTCCCTATCTTCTACGACTAGTCTCCGGCGGTACTCGACGTGTGTATACCGCCGCAGCCCTCTCTTCGACGTGCAGCACAGTGCCGTACCCTCCTAGAGAGCGTGTTGTATGTACACGTGCACACGCACGCTTGTGCTTTTTCCGTAAACCGCGCGCGTCCCGCATGCGTGTGCGTATGTGAGAATCAAGTGCAGCAACCTCCAGAGGGCCGCTGGAAAGTATGAGAGAGAAAGAGAGAGAGAGACGGAGAGATATAGAGGAGAAGGGATAGAAAACGCACGGTGTAGCATCGTCAGCACGCCTCCTGGACGAGGGTCCAGTTTCCTGGGTCGTCCGTTTGCGCGTTCAGTTACTGGTTCTACCGGAATCCTTCTAGAAAGATACGTTGGCGATCGCACCGAACGACTCGAGAAATCAGAATCGTGCACCTCGAGATAGCTGCGCCCAGATAGACTTGGCGCGTCTTCGCGCGGGAGAAGTTGAAGCACCCGGCGGAAAGTTGCCCCGCGACGATGTAAATGTTTCAAGACGTTGCCTTGCAACGCGTCCGCCTCGACGGCGAAGTGGCATCTTGGAGAAACTACGCTCGGAAGAATTCGATTCCAGAATGTAGATTATTTCGCGCACATCGCAAGAGAGAAGTAGATCGTGCGCTCGGATGAGATGAGTTAAATTATCAGCAAAACAAACGCATCACGATCGTATCGTCCCGAGGGATTCCTATTTTTTATCATCTTTCTAACGTGTCTCTAATATTCAATATATTTTTTCTATATCTAATATAAATACAAGATAAAATTGATATTAAAAAAATATTTTCTTTTCTTATATCCATCGTTCTATTGTCGTTCTAACTAAATTCTCTTTTTCGATATATTTGTATATCTTTGTATCGAAAATATAATTTGAGTAGCGTGTAGAAAATTAAGGCAACTTGTCCGCTTTGTATGGATGCGTCGTCATGTTTTCTATCGATCGTGCGAATGTAAAGCGGCAAACCGCAAGGCTGCCCCTTTTTTAATCGGAACCGAGGAGAGCCCCAGGTGGAAGAAGTCCGCGAGGCTCGTAGCCTCTTTACGATCCTCCTGCGGCACTCCCTGCCGACAATCCATACGCCTCTTCGTACATAGAGGCCTCTTCTCTCGCCGGCCACGAGAGACCTCGTACCTGTCCCCGTCAACATCCTCTTCGTGAAAGCGCCTTTACCGTACGTTCTCTCCCGGGATCGTGACGGTAGAAGACCGCACCGCCTTTTAACACTTCGCACACGCTATCGGAGCTTATTACAGGTTTTGAGAACGGGTCGCCATTGTTATCTTCGTAGAGGAGAAACACGGTCTATATACAAGGGACGGGCGAATAACACGTCCAATTTTACTGTCATCGACACAATTGACACTAAATTTCAGTCTCTACCCTCCGGAAAAAGATTCGACGCAGACTTGCCGGTTTCAAAAATTTAATCACGCGAAGAACGGTGAAATTTTTATTTCTAAAGGTTTTCTCAAGACTATCGATGCTTCGCATTTAAATCAATCATCTAATCGATTTGTACTTTAATTTACATAACGGAATGCGATGTGTATAAATATCAGTCAGAAAACATATGTAGTTATAACATTCTAACAGTTACCGCATATATGTATAAAATGCCAATACTATTATCGTAATTGAGACTATGATTCAAAATATAATATTTAATTACTGAGCGCGGTTACTTAATTTAAAGGCTGCGCACAGTTAATTAATCGATACTATCTGATTTTTGGCCATCTGTCAAAACTTTTCTATTTTCTTACCGACTTTATCATGTAATACTTATCGAACGTCCTATCCTAATATTATTGATGATCGAAAAATCGTCGAAAATTTCAGCTACTGATGGGAACAAGATTCTTTTAAATGATGATTAATTAACATGTATTATTATGTAATTAGTCTAATTTTTAATCCATTTTTTTAATTAGACAATAATGAAACGCAAAAAACAAGAAAATTAACGATCTTATATCGAATTAATAATCATAATCAACCTGTAATATTCAATTGTTTGAAAGACACAGTAGTAATAAATAATCAATGCAATCATTTGATCTCTAAATTAATTCCTAGGAGAGAAACTAGAAAAATTTGGGTAATACAAGTGCTACACATGTTAATCGATCATTCCTAATCAATGTCGTCACGCTAGTTGAACGTATAGTGAGCTTATTATATTCACGGGATAAATACCACCCACGTCTCTCTCCTTCTCTCTCTTTCTCTCATTACTAGTATATATCTATCCGGCCGCACATGACTGGGTTTCTCGTCTGACGATAGCGTGGGAAGGAAAAAAAGTATTCCCTTCTTTTGTTTCATCTGCAACGTTCTCTATTCATAAATCGAAACAGCGCGCGGCAGCGATCTAATCATCGCGGCACGGCGGGCATTCAACGAGAACGTTATTATTTTCCCGGCGCTGCCCCGGTGGAAGATCCCTCTTTTACCAGATAATTACCGATCGCGAGCGTAAAGTGTTTCTATCGCCAAATTTGCATTATTAATTAGTAATAATTATTAAAAATATCATTGTTCATATTACAATCATTATTGATGCTAATAATACTAATAACGCCGAGAGATTTCAATAAATGACATTTAAATAATGATATAGATATTATCATTACCGTTATTAAAATGTTAATTATACCTACATTTATACGTACTCCGTTAAATAAAAAGTATAAAAATAACCCAGATTGCGGACACATGTGTTAAATCGTCACGTGACATTTGTTTTTGCAGATTCCCGAAACGGGTCATCCGAACTAGTAGATATGCCAGCGGGAACCGTCCCGAGTTTGGGCGCCGTGGCAGGCGTCGGCGGCGAGGACATGGCTAACTTCTGGGCATCTTACACCATGAATTTCAAGAAAACGCCGCCGCCAACGTCGTCGGTGACGCCCTTGCGGTCCGATCGCGATCGAGAATCAAGTCCGCCCGGTGGCGAGGGTGCAGGAAGCGCCCACGATGAAACCAGCAGTAGCGGTAACAAGGAAGACGAGGACGATGATGATATGGATGTGGATGATGGATTAGACCCTAGACATCATGATCCGGAACGTCTCAAGGCGTTCAATGTAAGTATAAGGGTATAAGTGGTGTGTACTTTTATTTATTTTTCTTTTACACGAATTATTTTATGAAATTTGCCCTCTTCAAAACCATTTATATTATTTTTAAATATTTATCGACTTCAAAAAATTTAATTCAAAATTTTTATCTTTGTTACCCTATATAATTTGCGTTGCAATTTCACCGTACAGTATATAAAATTATTGTACCTGAATTACGCGCTGTTGCATTCCTTACCGGTATGCAACTATCTTGGTAAGAAAAGTGTAGTTTATCCTTTGGATGGATTAGATCCTCGACAACGTAGCCCGGACCATCTCAAGGCATTTAATGTAAGTACAATTGTAACGCAGTCTTATTAATTTTTTTATTTTTTTATTTTATAAAATTTGCTCTTTTCAAGGTTATTTATATAAAATTTCTAAATATTTGTCGACTTCAAAAAAGTGAGTTAAAAATCCCTATCTTCGTTACCGTAAATAACGTGCATTGCAATTTCAGCGAACGGAATACGTAGGTATATATAAAACTAGTAACTAAATTACATGCAGTTGCATATCTAACCGGTCACTTTATACAACTATCGTTGCAAGAAAAGCGTCGTTTATTCCTCGGAAGGATCGCGCGAAAAGAAAAGAGAACGGCAACATGAACGGAGCATGAACGTACAAAATTAAGGCCGTCGTCATATTGGCGGCGCGTAGGGCTTTCCCGAAAAAGCCTAATTATCGTAAAGTTTTATGAGCGCGCGATCCGCCAGAGAGACGACTCACACACAGGGGAACATGCCGTTTCTCTCTCGGTTTTTCCTCGCCTTCGCTTCCTCGTTTCTCATATATCTCTTTTTTTTCGTCCGTTTTCCTCGTGAAAGCCAAGCGGTCGTAGTTTCGCGGTGGTTGCCGCTGGTGCGCCGGCCAGCTTCTTAATTAATTACAATTAGTTTAATAGAGTCCCGGTGTTGCGCGCCCCACTGCCGCTAAATTCTTAATTTCTTGAGCGGTTAGCGAGACTCCCGCGTACCAACTCCAGCTTAATTCACTCCACTAACGTTGCCGCTGTGTTCTGTTGCGCACGGCAGATGTTCGTGAGGCTGTTCGTCGACGAAAACCTCGACCGCATCGTGCCGATCTCGAAGCAGCCCAAGGAGAAGATACAGGCTATCATCGACAGTTGCACGAGACAATTCCCCGAGTTCGCCGAAAGGGCTAGGAAGAGGATCCGAACGTACTTGAAGAGCTGTCGAAGAAATAAACGCGGCAGAGAGGGACCTTGGGATACCGTAAGTTTTCCATTTATAATCTCTCGTAAAAAGATATATAATAAATTAATCGTCTTCTAAAACTTTTCCATTTCGATATTTATATAAAATAAAATTGCTTTTAAATTGCTTTTTTCCCCCAAAATATTTCTCTTCAAATTTACGCTATTCGATTAAAGCCCTTACGTACTTGTTGAAATATTTGCGTCGAATTTTGTCCATAAAATTTCGAGCGTTTTCACGGCATGAGTCAAGCTGCGAGAATGTGTACGCGCATGAGTGTGACGTACGCATTTCTTTTTAGGCCAGACCCACGCCAGCACACTTGACCTCCGTGCAGGCCGAGCAGATTTTGGCAACCGCCTGTGAAAACGAGAGCGACAACGCGAAACGTATGAGAATCGGTCTAGAGCCCGTGTCGCAGCCTATGCCAACTCTTCCGGCCGCTACGGTGAGTAATAATCACACGCGAAGGGAGGGAGGATATACACATTATCGCGACTCCGTGAACCCGACAATGTTGTCCCCCAGGCGAATAAGATATTTCGACATCGTTAACTCGGCTAGTAATTACGTGTCGCAACACATTCTCTAGTCTGCGGCGCGTGGACGACGATATATGTATAATAGGGACACCGAAATGCATCACCGATTATATTTAAGGCTCTTTCTCATCGGCCCGGTGCGAGAATTCACACGTGTCTTTACGCGGACGTTCTTCTACAACTCGTAACGCACGTGCGCGGCTGACTGTAATTAGATGCTACGCGTGCGCAACCTTCGGACGTTCTTGCCGGCGTTACAAAGAACGTGAGATTCATTAATCAACCGATTTTTAGACTCGCGCATGTATCCACGACGCGCTCGGTAAATATATCACAAACTAACGCGAGAAGTAATAACTTATCGCGATAGACAGATGCAAACGTGTGAATCATTTAGAGAAACAAATCAATTACTCGCTGTGATTAAAATTTAATTGTGTGGTATAAAAAATATTTAAACTACTTCAAGTATTTTTTTAATAAAAGCAATAGATAACATCTGATCACATATATATATATGTACCTATACATATGCATATATATCAAATATAAATAAACAAATAAGTAAATAAAATTGTAAACTATAAAAAAAGCATCATCTGCCTCATATTTTCGCTATTGCAGTTTTATCCACAAACGTGTACCAGCGATGCGTATCACGCAGTAGGCGCGTGTACAAATAACGTAACGCACACAGCACACACAGCGTGCTGGCATTTCGATCGATCCTCGTAGAAAGGGGCTACCTAATTGTCCCTTAACTCATTTATACATTCCGTTTCATGCATTCGAATTTCGTCATCGCGCGCGGAAAATCCCATCACTGTGAAAGTAAACACCTCAATAAGCTCGCTTTTTAGCTCGTCATTTATCTACAGAGCATAGTTGGGTGCGTGTGTATTCGCTATTCTGGCCGACGTAGATATATAATAAAAATATCAAGAGAGTCTAAGAATATTGAATGAACGGGGTAACGTGAAAAATAAATATTACGAGAGGGACGGAAAAAAATTAACGTAAATAAAAGGAAAATGAGGGGGCGAAAACGAGCGAAGAGGAGACGAGATTTTCGATCGCAGTCTCTCGCATGAAAATTCGACGAGCTCCTGCGCAACGCCCGACAGCGAGAGAGATATACGTGGACGGAGAGCTAGGATTGATATAGGTACCGCGAGAGAGGCCAGTGATAACCCGCGGGTCGCGCACCTCTCCCACTCTGATGCAATCCGCGCATATACAGAGGGCCGGCGACGGCGTAAGCAACCTCGGCCTCATAAAAATGGTCGCGCGTATGCGGAACGGAAGAAACTGAAAATATTCTTGGGAGAAACGCGGACTAGCGCGGCGCGGCGCGACGCGACGAGAAGGGAAGGGAAAAAAAGCCGTCGCGGACTTTTGCGCGTCGAAACCGGCGCGCGCTTTCACGCGACGAACAAGGAATATGCCGTCGATCGCACGACGTCCGTAAATTTCGCGGTATATTACGTCAGCTATTCGCCGGACCCAGAGATTTCGTGTTTCGAGGAGTCATCCGGAGCTGGTTCTTTCGGGTTTGAAATCGGATCGATCGCCTCTCTCTCGATCGATCGCCCGAAAAGCGTCGATCAATATCGCGAATCGTTCTTATTGACGTCACATCTAATTTACGCGGCGAGAATATATTAAACGATTCGGCGAAACAATTACGTCCGCGTTTCGCGGTCTACTTCAATATTGTTCCCCTTAGTTAGCAAAGTGTAATAAGATGGCGCGAAAAAAGCGAGAATAACGCAATAAACGATCTCATCGGTATCTTGCGTAGGTGCGAATGGTAGTCCGTGCCATCCAATTTCGTACGATACGTCGCGCGACTTGTAATCCTCTTCCCCGGTTGACGAACACGTCGCACTCCCTCACTCTGTCCTCCCCCTTTGCGACACCATCACCAAAGTCTCTCGCACGCAATCGAGAAGCTGAAACGCGCACGCGGTTCCCCAACTTATCATCTACTTTGAAAATCCCCGAGAAGGAAATGGAGAAACAGAAAGAGAGAGAGAGGAAGATCCGATAACCTCTCCGGCGACCTAAACCTAACCCATTAAGGAGAAGACCTCTCCTCTTTCTCTCTCTCTCATATACATATGCCGGGGTTCGTGCGCGTCGGACGAAGCGGCTATCTTGCGCTTCGTGGCCACCTATATAATTGACGTCAACGTACACTGCTGGCCTTTCATAAAAACACCTCCCTGCATCCGTTCTACGCCGCTTGAAGATTTCATTCCTCCGTGCTCTCGTCCCGTCACTCGGACCCTCTTTCCCTCGCTTTCTCTTCTTCTTCGTCCTTCTCCTACTCTCTCTTCGCCAACCCCTCTGTATGCGTTTCATTCGATCTCCTCTCCTTCGTCAAGCAAGTCATCCGTTTCTGTGGTGGAAACGCACATTGCCACCTCTCGGCGTTCATCGCGCGGTTCTTTCTCTTCTGACGGCCCCTGCCTCTCTTTCTCCTCTCTCTCTCTTCCTCTTTCTTCTTGTTTCCACGAATTAATTTCCTCTCTCGTGAGCTTACTTACTCACACTTGGTCGTTTCGTCCCGACGCATCCGGACGTTCCCTTTTCTTGCTTCTGACATTTCTCCCTCGTGTCAACCCGTTTTTTTCCTCATCCTCCTCAATTCGTTTTGTTCCTTCCTCTTCTCTCGTCGGCCGGGAACGACGTTTTCTGAATCTCGCTCGAGTAAACGCGGACGTTATTGTTATCGTTCGTCGATACGTCGCCAGTAAGGGGCCGCAGGGTGGGGTACAAGCGCACAAGTTTAAGAAGACCGAGAGAAGAAGAAGCAGAAGAGGAAATCCAAGCGAACAAACTGCCGGCGCGCTTTGTTCCGCTCGATTGCTCATAGCGGTGAATACGATCGTGTTCGATGATCGAGATTGTGTCGATAACGAGAGCGGATAGACTATATAATCGGGGCTCAATTAGCTCGTGTCTCGGAACGATCCCCGGGGTTGATGATCGATAATTCGTAAGGCGATCGATAGTGTCCGTGCTGCTTCAGTGATTAGTCACGTGCTTGCGAGACATCGCTTCGTTTATTCTCGGCCAAATATGAGGAAAAAGAATCTACCGGTCGTTCACAAACTGGTTCGCGATCATGATCAAATTCAGCAGGTATTATAGCGGATGTCATAGATCGAGCTATTCTAAGCGTCATCGAACATAATTGCGACATTGAAGCAAAAAGAAGTTGCTTTTTATATCTTATAGGTTCATAAATCTTAAATTCTTTTTTTATTATGTCTATAAGTTATTTATAAGCATCGTATCGGTGTTAGAAGAGCGGAGTGTATAATCAAACCTAATTGAATTAATCTGAAAAATACGTAGGATTGCACCATTTAACCACGGTATTAAAAGATTACGATAGCTTATAGTCGCACTAATAATAAATATATTTTCGATCGGTGTTAGCAAAGTTTAAAGTTAAATCAAGAACAAAAATAATCATTTGTTTGGATATAGAATCTTGCGAATTCAAAATCAATAATCTTAAGCATTCAGTACAAAACTATAATTTTCAAATATGTCAAGACTAAAGTTTCGAGGAAAGATCGATTTTTAAAAGAGAATTTATAAGTTGAAAAAAAAAAAAAAAAAAAAAAAATATATATATATATATATATATATGTGTGTGTGTATGTATGTTTGCGTACATATAAATTATTTTTAAAAATACACACACGTACATACATATATATTTCACATATGCATAAATTAAATTAGAAAAGATATGATAGTATATAAGATTATAATGACATGTTTTATTGCAATAATGTGTTAATATTTATTTATTATAGCAAACGGACGTTCGATCAAGTTTGGACCATTTCTCGAGCACGCCGATTAAATCACTTCCGGGTAAAAGGGAGGATACCCCTCCGACATCGCTAACGTCCCTGGCACCTTTAACCAGTTTGGCGAACTTACCGAACAGCACCCTTTCCTCTACGCCGCTGTCGCTCGCATCAGCGTCAAAGTTGCTCACGCCAACGGACAACAAGAGTCTCATGAGGTCAGTACGATGAACTAGTTACGAGGCAAGGCGAATGAAATCCGTGTTTTCTTACTAGCGGCGTAGTAGAATCGAACTCTTATCTATTTTTTTTTTTAATTGGCTTGCCTACCAGCATCAAGGCCGATTCGATATAAAGCGCAAAAATAAACGTTTCTCTCGAGTCAAAAATTCTATTCGCGTCAATTTATATTATTGAACCTCGTTAAAAAAAAAAAATAAGAATAAAAATGAAAGAAGACTATCGTTCTTTCGCTCAGCTTGATTACGATTAGCTCTCTTACTCTCTGAATTACCGTAACCGATTATCGCAATCGGACGCTAAGATTTCCGTCGCCGAGTTCTAGATAAGACTTCGCCTTCGGTCAAAGATCATGGCACAAAAATTCACCGGACGCCTCGTTAAATGGGTGCACGTCCTTAACGGGACGTGAAGCGCTAATCAGCGGCGGCCTTTATCGCTAACGCGCATCTCATTCTCATTACGTTTTTCAGCCAGGCGACGATAGTCAGTTCGTCGACGGTGAATGGTGTCGCCAGTGGCGGTGCACCGACAGCGATGTACAGACCTAACTTCAGCCAGGCGTTCCAACGTGCCGGGCCTACAACGGTACCGCCGACCGGTACCCTCTCATCTGGACTGTACCCGACCCAAAGTTTCTCGGGCCTACTGAGCAACGGTACACAAAGTAATTCGGTTATTGGTGTCTTTAAAAAAAATGCTTTTGCACGCTGTTTATTAACATCCTTAGAAGTTTGCACGCTTTTGCAAGCTGTTATTTTGAGCTGTGTCTCTTTCCTCGGTTTAATGTCGATAAATATGAGTTTTTATATTTAGATATTAAATTTTTGAAGTTCTTCTTTCATACTTAATCGAAAATTAATTACATAGATTTAATTAAAAAATAATTCTTCGCTCGTCATCTTTGATTTTTGAGATAGTGTTTACTATAATAATGTTCAAAAATTCAATAAGAGATACGATTGAACATAATTTTTAACATAGTATATGTATATGCATGCTTCGATGAATCACGATGTTTATATAATTTACGATCGATTTTTAAATCCGTTATCTTTGCAGGACCGACGGATCTTAGCATGAAGAACACGAAGCCACTGTTAAGTCACAAGTTGAACGCGACGGAAATGACCGCGGTGAGGCAACTAATAACTGGATATCGGGAATCCGCCGCCTTTTTGCTCAGATCTGCCGATGAATTGGAACAACTATTGCTCCAGCAACCATAGAGCTATCTTTATATGACCAGCGCTCAACCGCTTGGCTCATAATCACAATAATCGAGAAAGCGATGCGAGTATACCATACTATGAGCACTACGAGCTCCATTTGATCATCGAGAGTAACGTTGAAGTCAGCGTAGATTCATTGATAGTACTTCAAGGTCGTTTGTACTCTGTCGGCAATGTGACTTTCAATATAAATTTACCCTCTGCTGCAAAGGTCTCTGGACCACTTGCGCTAAAGGATCGATTCAATCTGACAAGACGAGAGTGCAAAATCTTATTTACATGAGGAACTAATTCGAGAATAATGTATCAGAAATTAATCGGAGTTACTTCATAATAAACAGAAAAGATTTCTTTGACAAAAAGATAGAAATCGAGTTTGAGAAATGACGACGCAAGGCTCATATTCCTCTCTAAATACATCCTGTTCGAATAGTTTCCTTAACTCTAGAATTAGAAATGTGTCGTGGCAACGCGCGTAATAAAATATTAATTTTTTATTCATTTTCTATTTTTCTTAAAAATAAAGTTCTCTCTAAAAAGAAGCGACGCTTATGCGAAACAGTCATAGTTTATTAAAAGTGGCAAATATAAAATTATATACACATACAATATGTATATGTATACTTATATTTTTGGTACTTTTAGAATCAAACTATGATAATTCGCATAAAGATTGCTCTTTTTCAACAGTGGAAATCTTCATCGCAATTTCAATCTTGATTTTTGTTGTATATTTGCATTAAAAAAATCTTTTCATGTTTATTACGAAGTAACTCCAAAGAGTAAAAGAATGAAATAAATTTCTCTAACTCTATTGTATATGTACATATATAAAATAAAAATAGAGTACTTATAAAAACTATTTTTTATTTTATATTTTATTTTATATATATATATATCATATATATAAAATAAAACGTATAATTTTTTCTAGGGAGAACTCTATTTTTCTCTCTGAGAAAAAAATAAAAGGACAAAAAAAATGCATATTTCATTACGTGTGTCGCCACAACACATTTCTAATTTTAGACTTAGGGAAATTATTCGAACAGGGTGTACATAAAAGGATGAAATATTTACTTAATTATTGATAAGCTTAAAGGATGACTGTAATGAATTAAGAGTAAGGAAGATATTGAGAAAGCTTGCGGATGACAAGCCATTTGAAAGCATGTACTATTTCCTAACAAAAATGGACGAAGCGTCCCAGAACATTTTCCTCTTTAAAGTCAGGTGACGTGCTTGCAGTTTTTCCTATTCAGATTCGTAAGCTTCGAAAAAGAGTTCGTGAGCTCTATAATTCTACTACAAGTATATTCACCGTTTCGATGATGGCTAATGAAAAAGCTGTCGCGTGTTCTTATAAGAAGCTAATTTCGCTAATCTATTTGTTATCGTTATGTACATATGACGTAAATTATATATGATACAAATAGTTACTCTCACGCGAAAGAACGTCGATACTCCTCAAGAGAGCGCGATTAATTCGCGCGAGTGAATTGCACTATTCACTTCGAAATTGGCGAGTACATAGAATTTTCAGAAATCGATTCAGAAAAAAATATAAAATGACGTGAGAGAAAGAGAGATATGTATTTTAAAGAGATTATCATAAATTTTCGCCATTTTTGAAGTAAATAGATCAAGAAGATTTTACGAGAGTCATAACATACGTGTACATACATAAAAAGAAATGCGTTCATGCATTGATACACGTGTATATAATAAGTAGATTACAAGACAAGATGAATTTTTTATTGGCGACGCGTCAGAGGCTTCGTCAAAGAAAATAAATTAGTTGATTAATTGATTAACGATAATTGTACAATGTGGTCGTAATATAGTCAGACCAGAGACGAAGGAGCGTAGTGATCGAGAATATAATTTCGGGACCATCTTGTCACGATCGGACAATACGTTATAATCGTATTCGTGGTCTCCGGACGCATCACTGTGTTACCAAAGAACATTATAATTATTATCGTTAACGTACCTATAATGTATCTGTAATGTAAGGCGTTCTTCTTCTTTCGTGTTCTTTTTTAAGCAATATTTTTTTTTAAAGAAAAGTATAAAAAATTATTTTCTTAGCTGACTAAAATAATTTGAAGATAAATGTGACATCCGTTTGTGGACGTGATAACTGTATATGTCATCTCTGATTATGAATTTATCTATTATTTTTCTTATTATCATTAACATTGTTACACTGCTATGATAATTATCGATATTATATTTTTATTATTATCGTCATTATACCGTCATCTAACATGATTATCATCATCACGATATTGATTGCAAATCTCAAAGAGCAAGAAGATAAAGCGAGATATTTCTACGGATACTTCGCTCTGTCTTTCAATAGTTTCAATGTCATTTTCCACAGAAAAATTTCCGCTTGTTAAGTCTACGCTTTGTCATTGTTTTGTAAATAGTTTATATACATTGTCGGAGTACATATACAGATTATAGATATTAAGTTGTTTAAGAAACTAGGCGTAAGAAAAGAATATATATAAATATAAATATAAATATATATATTTATAAACATATGTATTTATATTTACATACATATATATATATATATATATGTAAATGTAAAATATCTTTATGCGAATGAGATTTTGCTAATTGCTATCACCGTTGAACTTCAAATGCATTCCAATGGGAGCAAAGCAAATAGAAAAGTATATGGAGAGAATACTGAAAAAAGATATGAAGTTAGACAGAGAAAGAGAGAGAATGTTATTAGAAAGAAAAAAACATGAGAAAGAGAGAGAGAGAGAGAGAAGTGAGGAAAATGTACGTGTATTTGTGTGAATGGCATATATGCACGATCGCTGAACGTGCGCTCATCGAAGGTTCTATAGGAATCACGACTTTAATTGAGAAAAAGCGAGAAAAAGTACTTCCTTTTTCCTTTTGCGTTTTGCGAGCAGATCACCACGGCGAAAAGCGCCCGCCGTCGCGCGATTAAACTCTAATAATAATGTTTGCGGCACATTTGATGAGAGACATAACCGAATAAAGCGTTTCAATTGGAATTAGTTTTTACTCTTCAATCACTTCAAACTCGAATGATACTTGCGATGACGATGCAAGCGCATCGCGTCGAATACAATTTTTCGTCCATATACCGTAGTAGTCGGACATCTCTCTAATCGACACAGTGCAATAGTCTATAGCTATACCGTGTATTAACAGTCGTCGTCACGATCATGCTTTTATCATGCACGACGTAAATAGTCTCACAGCTCAACCATCCCCTTCCTTTAACGCATTTCCGTATTTATCTTATTAATTTCAAGCAGGCATCATACTTCTTTACGAATATAAGCTATCAACAGTTCATATCTTACCGCTAGCATTGTACATTTATATGTAATCCACCTCTCAGACCTTTATAGCTACATAATCGCGAGGACCGAGCTCCGTTTTGCGAACTACATATTTCTCCCTTCCCCCGCAAATCCGACTAGCAATAATGTTCACTGCGCGCTCTGCTAATAATTGATACTTATATAATTATGCTTCGACGAATCTGTCATTCATAAAATTCGTAAAGCAATGAATTGAAAAGAATATTATATTGAATGTTATTCTCGACTGAAAAATGAGAATCGAATTTGATCATGTTCATCGATAATGTTGCTCGTTTTGGGGAAAATCCGGATCCCGACACATCCGAAATACGGAGTAAAAGGAAAAGGGAAAGACGAAGGAGATAGAAAAGGACATTATAGATACCGAAGAAACTTACTCTGTTCTTTTATCCTATGTTCGATAAAAAAAAAAGTGTCCGTCGTGTGTACCTTAATTCGCCTACGCGGAAGTGCAGTTCATATATAGTCGCGAATCGGTGTATATTGATTAAAGAAAAAAAATATGTATTTGTTCTAAAGAAATGATAAGAGTAGTATAATATAATATAGGTACTATAAAAATATTAATATTAATAATACCGATAATTTGATGGTACTTTTCTTATAAGTAACATTATACATTATTACGATTATTGTAGAGTTGGTACGGTTCTTGAGGATGCCTTGCCTGTAAATGTAACTCACGTTAAATGAAAAAAAAATCTTATTACCTTGTAAATGTTTTACCAAATATAATCGATATTCAACTTATACTTTGATCCTGGTTCTTTTAATTGTTCAGCGTTCCTATCTGCGTCAACGTTTCGACAAGATTTATGATTCGATATAAATTATTTTTCTTTCTTTTTCTTCTCTTTTTTTTTTTGTCATCCGTTGGTCTTTCGCTTGACTAACGTCGGCGAAAAAATCTCGTAAGGCCGCGGTCTGTACACGGTCATAAATATCTCGAACGCATGCATAATCGCGGCGCCTTTAAATGCGACGAGCAATCGACCCGATAATGTATTATGTGCATACGTTTGAACGAAATGGAAAGCAATGGAAAGTTGAATAAGTACCGGTGCGCCGCAAGATCACGATCGTTGGCCGGATTGGGAAATCTCTACCTACTCGCAACA